CGTACGGTCCGTACGGTCCGTACGGATTTTACTATTCTGGCGGCTCCTTGCTCGTCCGCGGCGTTGCGTTGGCGCAGAAGGCGCCGTACAATTTCTACCTCACAAGGCGCATTTCTAGGGCCCAAGGCGGATTTCCCGCCGACGCCGAAGCGCCTGTGCACAGGCGCACGCCTGTGCGTAGGCAAACTTCGCGCCTACCTCAAAACCCTATTTCGCCTGTGCGCAGGCGAACTTCCTTCGTCCGCGCATAGGACAAAACTTCTCCGCCTTTGCGTAGGCGAAGAGCTGAGTATCTTACAACCTTCATAACTCCCGGAGTCCTTATCCGTTGTTGGCGTTCTTGGGCTCGTTGGAATTAGTGCGTCGAGCTCTTTTCAACAAGACCCTAACTAAGTCAAGGCGTCCGGGGGTTGACCTGAATATGAAGGATTTCCCTACCGCCGCTGATGCAGCGCCGAAGGCGGGTTTTGCGCCTTGCACCGTAGGGATCCTAACTGCAGAGCCCGCAGGGAGGGTGGTGCCCTTCCTTACTGCTGCATCCAACTCCTAGATTCTACAAGATTCCTCGAAAATCTCTGCAATCTTCCGAATTCACTCTGTTTTGATGCACCGAAGGCTATTTACATTGCTGCCAGGGTACAGTTTTCCAAAAATGTTTTAATTTCCTCAAAATTACCAAAAGTGGGGTATCACAGTTACTAAGTGAGCATTGTAATCATGGAGAAAATTTTACAATTTGAATCTTGCTGGATATTGCATTTCTACCGCGAAAGTGCCCAATTTGCAAGCACTTTGAAAAGGGCCATTAGTTGGTTTTTGACAATAAGTAGTGGTAGGGGTGAGGAACTGCGGTAGAGGATGCCTTCACGAGCATACAACTGTACAAATGGTACTGATGGTTATCCTATGTACTAAGACGTAGAAGTCGTGTTTTGATGAAAGTTGCATTTTCTTTTTCCCGCCTTGAGAAGCATTTGATGTGGAATATTTTACCTTTACTTTTTTGGAGTAAGCTTAGGATTGTTTGCTTGCTGAAGTACTCATAGATTCTGTCTCGTTATTTTTGCAATTTCGCCGGCTTCCTTTACTAATGTATTTTAAGAAGGGGAACTGGTCCACTTCTTAATTCCAACAACATACAGACTAGCTTATCGAGGAGTTTGAGTGATGTTAACATATCAGCCAGCATGCAAGAGTAATGCACAATTGAAATCTCCACTCAATTGAACAACATATCTGTTTTGCATCGTTGATTCTTTTGCAACACTTGTTCGTCAAGGCTCAGACCTTCTAACGTTTGATACATGCTAATAATAGATCCACGTGAATTTGCGAAAGTCTTGGAAGGTAGATTACCTCGACGACCACACAAACGATATCCACCGGTAAGTGGTTTGTCATCATGACGCGAGGTCGGTGCTTTTGAATTGCATTCTCACTCCAGGATCATTGATGCTAATTTCTTTGTGGATAATTGGCGTTAAACATCCGAAAGTTCGCGAAACGTTATGTTGTAAACGAAATGTTTAGGGTTTACCGTAAAAAAGTGACGAAATATATTTCACAATCGTTTAAGAAGTTATGTTAAAGTCATGCATTCATGTAAACTGCGAAGCAACAAGTGAAGTCCGAGTAGACCAAAGAACAGATGATCTCTTATCTAAAAGAGGGCTCTTCATCATCTATGGCGCCGAGCCGCAGCTCTCTGAGTGCTAGAGCACAGTGGGTGTTCAGGATCAAGCAGTGGCTCAAGGCCAAATGTTTTGATAGAGTTGCACAACCACTTTGAAGGAGAGAGATATCCATTATCATCCCGTTAGTTTCAGAGTCATCATAAGCTCGATGAATTTATTGATGCAGTCCAAAGTTATGCAAGTAGAAGATACGAATTTTGATTATAGGTGTGGCATTGTGGCCTGCCATTTCCACGAAGCTTCTTTCTGTCCGAGCACGACGAAATGTGCTACCAGGTTTCATCGAATGTAAGGTTTCACGGCAGGCAGACCGGCGACTGACTATGGGTGGTCGGCAATTCAAGGAATATGCTGGCGCAATTCGTGAGTACAAGACATTAAAATTATGCCATGGTACCAGTATTATACGGTTTGAAATTCATGTGATGACAGATATGTAAGTGGAGGAGAACAATGGGGCGTGTGAGCAGACGATCCTCAAGCCACAGAGAACCTCCAAGTAGCGATGTAGGGGCTCTTCCCTCTTTGTTCTCAGAGATCAAACCCAAGAGGTGAGAATGTAATCGAGTCCACTCTAAACTTCAGACGTGAACATAGATGGCGTCACCGAAGACGTTTTCTGCAAAACAAAGCACTACATCTTTCTTACTCCTTTTAGTCTACGTCAGGAAATAATTGCAGGCCTCGTTCCCCACCACGGAATGTTCCGGCAAGAGACCGTAGGTAGCTTTGGTGCATTATAATATTTCAAGCAAATTACATTACATAACAACTTATCACGTTCTACAGATTTCTATAAAGTTTGTATATTTATTCATTTTAACTTGATTACCAAAACAATCATTCTTTCAAGAAGATCTCAAAGTCCAAAGGTTTAAAGTACAAAAGTTTTGAGACAAATCAAACACTGAAGTTCTGTGTTGCTGGATTATCTAACCTCTTCACCTCAACAAGATAACATTGAAGTCTACTGTAAAATTATCCAATTCAGCCACATGATCATGAAGTGGTTGCACCCGTTCACAACAAACAATACATGATTCTATGAGACGGGAAAATTTCTTGTGACCATTCTTGATTCTTGATTCATTAGAAGGTTAACACGTTTTAGATAAAATGAAGATGGATATTCACTCTCTACCCCAGCTTTTTTTTCTTTTCTATTTCACTGGTGTGTTTACATTTAAATGTAACTCGATCTTCGAAAGCGAACTCGATCACCTTAACTGAAAAATTACGATTATGAATTAAAATCACTGGTGGTGAAATCAACGTTGGATGACTTTCTGAAGCACGATGGACATGGGCCTGCGTATCGACCTCTCCGGGACCGTGGGAGAAGATGACGCAGATGTCCGAAAAGATCTGGAATCAGGCGATATAGTAATCAGACACGACGTCCTGAGAGCGAGAAGTAGGCTCAAACAATCATCGCAGCAGACGCCGTGAATCTGAAGATCGGACGAGATTCGAGCGCAATCGAGCGCCTGGATTGCATGCATGGCGTTCTTACGTGGAGGTAGATGAAGGCGTACTCCACTCATGGCTCGCGACTTCGGAATTGCTGTGGATTTCGGCCACAGTCTTGTTCGTGATGACGACGTCGTGGATGTCTTGAGTCCATCCGTGAGAAATGGCCTTCCAGATTTTCCCTCCCGTGGACGCTTCGGTGATTTCCTCCTTCACAGGGTCGTCCAAGTCCTTGCCTGCAAAGGAGCCACAAAACTCCACCACCATGTATTAAACGATAGCCATGTCGGCGGCCATCCGTTCAGAGAAGAAATTCCAGACTTTTATGTATCACTGCGTGATAAAGGTGAATAATTGAAGATAGACTTCCGTATGAAATATTTTTTGCAAGGAAAAAGAGAATAATGCGAAAAATGATGTAGACAACTCCATAAAGAACTCAACATAAATACCTTAGCAGAGGACTATACATCCAGACGTTATCAAAAATGTCCTATGTAAATACAAAATATGATAAATTTGAGTACCTTTGTGAAGTTTTGCCGGTGTGAGCTTCATCGATCAAGTAAGATTTGAAGAACTTAAAGTGTTGGTGTGAGATATATATTTCCAGTTCAAATTTGTTTTGCAAGTGTCAGAATTCAATCTTGGACTGGTTGGAAGAGTTTTAAATGTGAAGGATTTTTTTATGCTTCTTTGTTTGGACTATTTCATATTAGTTTCTTGTGTTGGCTTTGTATAAACGTATGATTTTATATGAGTGCCCTAGACTGGATCATCATGGATGCACTCTAGTATGTGACAAGCTTTTTTTTTGTAAGATGTTGGAGATGGTGATAAATTTTTTTCAGAGTGTTTGAGATGGCTGGAGTTTAGATTGCTCAAATCTTTTAGACAATTCCCATGTGTTAGATCAGTTTAGACGAAAAAGTTCTTGACGATTTGATGAACGGATTGGATCAGATATTTAGAGCATTGCAGCAAGGTCATTTGATTGATATTGGTAACAATGAATGAAAGAGATTCAAACAAAGAATGTAAGCAATGTAAAATAAAACTTGATCTTGCTATGTAGGAAAATGTTCAAGCATTCAAGTTATTCATGCTCCAGTGACTACATGATAGAAGGAAAAATTTGGCTCTTAAAAATTTGCAAGCTGTTATGGGAAAGATAGATCAAGTAGTGGCAAAAATGTCTAAAAATACTACTACAAAAAATGTAATACAAGGTCTTAAAATACAACTAATGCTACTACTAAAATTATTCATTGTAAAACAATTTAGGGATAGAAAGTATATTGGAGGGTAAATGAAAAATTGGGATGAATGTAATCAATGCGTGATATAATAATATAACAAAACTATATGACAAGAAAGTCAAAGAGTTGATTTTTCTTGAAGATGTATATCAAACTTATTTTCTGATGCACATAGATTCTTGATGGTGACACATTATCTTGAATCTTCTTTAAGGACAATCTCTTTCTACATTTGGCCAGAATTACCTTTCAACACTGCGGTGGATCTCATGTATCAAAGTCACCAAGTTCTGTAATCCAAAGTGTGCGTAAGTCCGTTTAAATTTATGAATTTTTCAGTCTCTATGTCGTCTAATATTACAAACAGTAAAAATAGAGCATCTTTGGATCAGAAACACCAAGAAAATAAATTACATAATAAAACTAATAACTTTTCAGAACTTGAAATGATATCAAACGTTACCATTTGTGCTGGGTTAGTTTGAACAAAACATCTCATCCATTCTCAGAGATATTTGGAAGAGTCCACAAAATATATATATTATATCTTTACTATAAAGTAGATATAATTATTATCTGCGTTGAAACGCAACATCGCATAGATGAACCTCCATTCATACAATGTCTTATTGTACGAATAATCTTTCTCCCCAGACATACCAAGAAGTGTATAACTTCCATGCTATAACAACACCAACTGTAGTTCATATTCTGCGTTGCTCCACGACCGCAGGCAAATCTACGACAAATTATACGTGCCCACTTTTACCCGAGCTTCTATACACTGTTAATGACAAGTGTAAGTCAGACATCGATGATTTGTTTTACATTTTCTGGAGGACTAGAGAAGCTATGAACATTGTACCGCGAGGAAGTAATGGCAAACTCGTGGCTTCCAGCAATCCAGTCTCGACAGTTTTTCATGTACCGGTCAATTGCGGGGTGAAACTCAGGAGAGGCGGCAGATCTGAGCTGTTCATACGCAAGTTCCATATCAGCAAGTCTGTCAAGGACCAGTTCGACTACAAGCTCTCCTGCTTGTGTGCAAGAATGGCAGTTGTATTGTTGGAGCACGGTATACACTAAATTGTGCTTATCGCCATCGCGGAACATTTCCTGTATAAGAACCGACAATCGGAGAAAAGTAAGCTCGAGTCGAGAGATTCTTACGTGTAATTATCAGGCAATGGTTATGTCAAAGAATGTTGTAGTTTAGAGTCACCCGTCTGGACCTGTGAATGTGATAGACATATATGACGCGGAGGGGTCCGCACTGAACGTACCTTGGGGTAGCTGTAAATATCATTATCCCAACATATGGCGTCCATAGCGGCCTTGAGCAGATTCTGCATATGTTCTCCGTGGAACATGCTGTCGGGAATATGAGAAATCGGAGATTTCCTCCTTTTATGTTCAATGATCCGATCTACGTACACCTGCAGTAGACGAAAGGAGTCAACAAATGATAGAATTTTACGTAACCAAAGGAGGAAAGAAGAGAAAAGGTCCGAAATGTTTAATGATTTTTCAGCATTTATAAATGAATCATTAATTTATAACATAGGTATTTTTATGTTTTTATAAATTATGAAATTGGAAATCTTTCCCAGAATGTCTCATAAATATGAATATAAAAGCATTTTGGGAGAAATTTAAAATTAAATCGAAATGTTGACTTTGAAAAATTACGATGAATAATGAATGAATCTGAAACATTTGGATGATAAGTACCTGCAGTAGACGAAAGCAGTCAACAAATGATGAAATTCTGAAATGATGATTTTAACGTAACCAAAGGAGGAAAGAAGAGAAACGGTCCGAAATGCTATTTGTAACTCACATAATACGGCTCCGCACACCCAGAAAATCGTCGAAGGGTGACGTAATCAGCCACAGTCATACTCTTATCTGCCTTCCGATTTTTTTCTTCCCAGAGACATGCCGAAATGTACCGTTGAAATGCCTCGACCTCTCTAGTCGTTTACTCAGCAGGCACATCTCCGATATATTCCAGCCAACATTCTCGGAATGCGGACATGAACACTCCCAAATTGACATCGAGAACTGCGAGAGTTGGAGCAATAGTTAGTCGGCTTCACATGTATTCAGTCAATAAATGTGGGTGGATTGAAATGTACATCAATTTGCGGCGCAGCATTGAATTATAACTCCTCATTCTGAATTGGTTCATCTCGAAAGTCAGGCCCTGAAGGTGAGAGGTATTATCTACTTCCCTGCTGCTGATTGTCCATAGGATTTTAAACTATCTTGCCGGTTTTACTTCCCTCTAACATGCGACTTACTCTCAGCAGGCTTATATCGCATTGACCGTGGCTATCAGTTACAGCATGACAATACAATTGCAGCGGACAAATCAATAGGTGACGTGAACAGAAGACAGATCATAATTGGAAAAGAGAATTCGCGTCCAAGGATTACGTGATTTGGATTTTTTTCCTGGCATGCAGCATATCTGCATGATATTTGTCAAGCTGCAGGCGTGATCTGGAAGCATCGATTGCCATCACCGCGTCCAAAATGGTTTTCGAGCCTCTCTCCCCTCTCCTTATAGTCTTCGTGCGCGTAAATAAGCCATTTCCGTCCTTATCGGCCCAAAGGGCCAACGGCCCTTTGGTACTCGACTGTAGGGAGAGGCCCTGGGACTTTTCAGACAAAAAAGGGAAGAAAAACTGACAGGGCTTTGAGAATTATTTATCTATTGGGTTGCATGTTCGGTGACTATTCCGGGCCGGCGCTTCCCCGGGAAATAGGAAAGAAATATATTTTCTTAGAGCGCTTTAACCGATTTGGTTTTCAAAACAGAGACTACTAAAAGCAGTGTCCACGAATGGAAAATAAGAATAAGAACAGGAATTTTTATTATTATTTATCTGAACATAATAGATAAACAAGAAATAAATACATAAAAGTAAGTCTGACTTATGGATGGCGCGTAGGTCGGCAGCAAGACCAAAATGAAATTACTAAAATATTGTTAGACAAAAGCAGATAGGTTATAAAAAAAATACCATATACAGGAAGGGGTAGGCGGGGCAGGCTAGCTGGCGCCTACCCAGAAAAAGAGGGCCTGGCTTGGTCAAGTCCTTAACTACAACTTTCGGGGCGGGCTCCGCCCTATAAGGACTAGGTCTGTATAGGGCGGAGCAGGTCAGTGCTTAAGTTGCACAAATTGCTAAGATGTCTAAATGCTTGATAGCTGAAAGTTATTCAAAAGTAAAAAATGTTGAGTTTTGAAACTTCATCCTTGTCGTCACGCTACAGGTTTAACTTCCTATAGACCCAAGTCCATTTTCCATTAGGATCGGTCTGTACTTGATGTTGAATTTTCATTTTTAATGTGTCAAATCAGCTAACCAACGTTGGATGAAAGTCTGGCAATTCGCCCGTAACCCAGGCAGATTGCATAAATAATTCTTCAATAAGCTATGAAAATAGTCATGGAACATATATACGAACCTATATTCCTCGACACCTCCCACGGTTTGGGTTGCGTCCCGGAAGAGGGTGTCACTGGGGTTAGAACAAATTTGCCTGAAATGGACAGGAGCGTCGTGGTTCCTTGAATTTGAACATATTGTTATAGTATTAATAAGCTTAAAGATTTTAGTAGTAAATTTGAGGATTGTGATAGGCTAACAAATTACAGTAAAATGACTTGGAAGGATAACGAAGCTGATTGGTGTAGCGATAGACCGATGAAAAATATATTAAAAGTTTTCGTGGGTCTCGATTCAGAATATGTTCGAAATTATTTCAATACTAAACTTTCCCTGAAGCCGAACGCCAACTTCAAGTTGGTTCTAGCTGCTCTAGGGATTGTTTGCGCTGCTTTGCTTGTATATAAACTCAAAGCCGAAGCAAAAATATTATTACAAGAAGTATAAATCTGATAACCGCCACAACCATGAGGCCAGTAAATCTGGCAGCCACTCGCATGTACCCCCAACCACGGGTGGTCCGGAAGGGCATAGGATCCATGAAATATTTTCGCGCAAATAACCCTCCGGAGGTAACTGTAACTAACAGGAAAAGTCGTTTACACCGAGAGAGTCAGCGGATCAAATCCGTTATTACCCAAGGGTTTCCATTATATGTAATTATGAATTGAATCTAGCGTCTGAATAAATTGACTAATTTTATTCATGTTGGTTACGAGAATATGAAAAAAGTCATGATTAGACCATGTTCTTGATATTTTATAAAACAAAGGAGCATTTGAGTTGGTAAATATGTTCTAATTAGAAAAGTCAGAAGAAATGTAACAGAACAAAATACCAAAGAAAGACATAGTGAACAAAAAAAATAAAGTGAAACAACCACAGGGCGCAGCTTGTTAGTTAACACAACGAAGATACTGAGTACTAAAAAATCTTGTATTTTTCATTTACCAACTCCTCTTTGTTTATGCTACTCACTATCAGTTTAGTATTGCTAAACAGTTTAGTTCATTGTCATCCTCAAGCTTAACTTGGTTCAACATTTATAAATTAATCATTAATTTATAATTTAATATTTTTATTATTTTATTATTTATGAAATTGGAAATTAATTCTAAAATGTCTCATAAGTTCATCCACAAGACTTAAAAACAATTTACAAGCAATCTTTTTAATATACTAACAATAAAACCACTTTCAAAAATTTGTGAATATTCAAATTTATTTTTGATTATAATTCTATTTTAAATATAATTTAAAAAATAATAATTTGCCTAAACTGGATTTTTATCAATGGACACAAGATTTTGTTAATTGGATTTTATTCTTAATTTTTAAATTATTCAATTTATCAATTTTGAGTGCTAACCAAGAGACTGCAATGACTTTTCTAAGGTACTTATCATCCACATGTTTGAGATTCATTCATTATCTATCGTGATTTTCTAAACTTCAATATTTTAATTTAACTTTAAATTTATCCAGTAATGTTTCTATTCATGTTCATGAGACATTTTGAAATTTTTGAAAGTGGTTTTTTGTTAAATTTATTAAGAAAATGGCTTGTATTTTGTTTATAAGTCTTATGAATAAACTTATGAGACACTTTGGAAAGATTTCCAATTTTATTATTCATAATGGATTTTGCTCTTGCTGCTCATTCTTCAAATTCCACACAAGATTTCAAATTGCACATTTTGAAAGTTTCAAAAAAACTGTCTATATGTAAGATGTCAGATCGACCGCGCCGTGGGTCTGGCGCTGGAAATCAATCGAGCCATCACGTACGCAGGCCAAGCATTGAACGAATTCATTGCATTGTACATATTTTAACTTATTTCAGCTCCCGCTCGACTGAAATACGCACCGTTGACGAATTTGACTCCATACCTCGGCTAGTTGTCATTGCCCTTGCCCCATATGCTTGATCGCCTGAAGTGAGTAAAATCCGAATATGAGTGACATTACATTCATCACAATATGCATAATTTCCACACCTCGCTAGGCCGTATCAAGTAGAGCTCACATCTGCAACTAGTAAACAGCAAGAGATGAAGATTACTCCAAGCAGTACCTGCTTCACTCTCGACGCCTTGAAATAGTTCCCCTCGCTGTTGACCGTGGGGCTCGAGCTCCTGCCAATTGCATACTGAGTCTAGTCGGAGTAGAAGTTGTTAAGGATGTGAAATGTTCCAAACCTACCGTTGTACATAAAATCTAATGCAGTCAGTAGAAGAAGGAGGAGTCGATGACACAAGGGAAGGGGCATTGCAATATGCACAGAGGCAACAAACAAACTTTGGTCAGCAGTGAAGATCACGTCTTTACTCTGGCATCCGTTGACAGAGGTTCGGCTCCAAGTTGTTCATGGCAATCGTGATCTGCATGATTTTGTCTTCACTACCAAAGAGCTCACACCAAAGAGCATGACTTTGTTGTATTTGCTAAAGTTGTTGTTAGAAATTGTGACTAGATTGGGGCCATAAATGGCATGCACAAGACCGTCACTGATCAATCAATAGATATAAAATTGTGGACAAAATTAAAAGATATAAGATCTTAAAAACCTTTAGATGTATCTTGGATGAATTTTTAACATTATACAAAATATATTCATATTTATTTATTAATATATAAAATCTTTATCACAAATTTTTTTTAATTTGAGTTTGCTTAAAACATTATGGATCTATTGTTATAATGCTTAATTTCAAACCCTAATAAAACTTAGATTCCTTGGTTAAAAATGAATTATAAAATGAAGATTATAAATATCTTCTATTATAAAATTTTGAAATTAAGCAAATAGAACAAATGGGTTTCATGACCATTTTTAAATAAAAAATAAATTCAATATTTTGTAAACTTTTGGAGACTTTTGAACTTCATTAAGAAATCAAAAATGAGATTCAATGCAATACTATTAATTGAAAGCAGGAAACCAATAAATTTGTAAAATATTATGAAATTTCTCATTGAAAAAATAAACAAATAATGATTTATAACTATTTTTATTTGAAAAATCTTGATTTAAAAGTTTTTCGAATATTTTTTAAATTTATATGTATTTATCATGTCATACCTAATTAATTTACAATACAAAAATTAAAAAAAATTTAAGATACTAAAATAATATTGATTTACAAGATTTACGTCAAAAATATTTATTCTTTCATATATGCTGATGCAGAAGTATTTGATATAATCATCATCAAGTGAATTCTTTTCATACCAACTTTGAAATATAAGTAAAGCAATATGGACACAACTTTATTTGTTAAAAAAAGTATTAATATTAATAACACAATTTTAATATATTTTAGTTATATTCTACTGTTCTATCATTCTATGTGATGACTTGCTTATCTTCATGACTGATATGTACATTCTAATATTGGCAAATATTGTGTTTGGTTCCTCTGATATCATGATTAATATCATTGATGGGTGAGCTGCGTACCCCCCTCTTAATCTTTGCGGGGCCAATTACATATATGATAAATTTAAAAATCACTTATCTAATAATTTTTACTTTTAAAGCTGTAGACTCTTCTATTAATTTTTTCAAAACTATTGAAAATAAGAAAGAAATGATGTAAAGATACAATTATGAAATAAAATACATAATTATATAAATTTTTTTCATATTTAAGATATTTAAAAAAATAATTTCATCAATGAATAGATAATCAACATCAAACTCATAATTTTATTTTAAAATTTAACATTAAAAAAACAAATTAATATCAAAGAGTCCAATTTTTACATGATAAAATTAATATTAAACCCTAAAAAAACCTAAAAATAAATTTTTTGATTTAATTTTATTAATATTATCAACAATTTATTATAATTTATTGAAGACAAATTTAATTAAGTCACATTTACATATATGTGTTTTGATCATGTGAATCATGATAATTTTGATTAAATCAGAAAAATTTCCTATTTAAGGCCTGCAACAAATATTTAAACATAATATTTGAATCCATCTATTTTGTATGATATTGATAATTTGAAAAGACACATATACCAATATTTTTATTTATTTTATTTTATTTTTATAATTTTAGATTGATCATTTCTATTGGAAATATTAAATTTTTCTCAAAGAAATTTTTATTTTAAAGATTGGAAAAAAAAGTGGGTAAAAATTAAATGTTGGATTAATTCTATTAAGAAATAAACATAGATGACGATCGTCAATCTTCTATAGATGTAGATTGACAAAAAATAGAAATATGAGATCAAAAAAATAAGAAAAAAGTTTGTAAAATCTAGATTATCACTTAAGATTAAATAAAATTAAATGGATTAAGTTTTGTATTGCTTTGTTGAAACATTTATATAAAGGTTTAAATAAGTGAGAACAAGTTTTATTGGAAAAATATGAGAAAAATTAAAAAAGCTAAAATGATTGTTGCAACAACGATTAAAGATAAGGAGTATAACGTTCTTATAGTTGATTATGAAAATATATGGATGTAATTTCATCTACATTGTAAAGAAAAATCATTAGAAGTCTTCATGAGAATGAAAATCTATGTAGTTTTTTTATTTATTCCACAAAATTAAATCTATGTTTTACAAATTGCTATTGTGTTGAATTGTAATCATCTTTAGTTAGTTTGAATTAAAGTAGAGGTTATTTAAGATTGAGTAGAGTAGATGATAGTGGAATATCTACAATGATATGTCGGCCATCCGTGTGCTGGTTAGTGTGTTAGTTGAAAAAATTACATCATTAATCCATGTGTTTGTTAAGTAAGGATTAATTGTGCTAGTTGGTGTGTTAATTAGTAATGACATGTCAACAATCTGTGTGTTCATTAGATAAATCTACCATGTCATCAATTCATTAGGAGTGAATTGGATGGTGAGAATGAGGTCTTATTTTTTTGTATTTGTTGGTAAGAGCTATATAAGAGAGAGTCAAACCATTGTAAATATTTCTCATCTTCAAAATTTATATTTTCATCCACAATTGAACTTCTTTTTAAACCCTGGTGTTACATTAATTTATAAAAATAAACGTTTCATTTATTTTATACATTGTATTTTACTTATTATATAATTCATAATGTTTATCCATGAATAATAATAGCTATAGACATATATTTCTTTTAATGTCATAACATAAAATTTATTCATTGGGTTTTCAATATATATAAATTAAAATTTTTTCCTAGTAAGTATAATTTTTTATATACTATTATCGACGAAAGATTCGTAAAATTCATTACAATGATCAATCATCAAATTTGAATCAATGAATCAACCCTTGATGATGGTAAAAGCAAATTTCATACCTATCATAAAGAAAAATATAGCTTCAAATTAGGTTTATGAATGCATTATCTTACTCCCAATATGTTAAACATGAGAAGATGTATTAAAGAGTGTTTCCATTACAAATACGTAATTCCGATAAAACTGAACTATAACAAAATTTTTAGTAAATCGCTAATTGATTCGTGTACATCGTTCGGCAAGCATATGGTCTAGGCAACGTTGAGCAGCATTCGCAAGCCTGTGTTTCCAACACTCGCCCTCAAAGGATTCAAGAACGCTGTCGTTCATTACGTTGTGCAAAATGGCGTCACGCTACGCGAGGCCGGCAACGATCGGTTTAAAAAATTTGTTGTCGCATTGACGCACATGTATGAACCGTCGTCTACTCACACGATCCTCTGGCGCATCGTCAAACTACATCTTGTACCCAAGCCAGCTCTTGGGGCATTCCTTTGCAATCTGACCGTCACCATTGACTCTAGACAGTTGGTCTTATCCAAACCTGAAAAGAATCATCGTTGTCACCGCTCACTGGGTAGATGTTGTCACGCTGAAGACCAAGAGAATTTTGCTAACCATCATGTATGTCAAGTGCGGGGCTGGTGTTGGGACAAACCTATTCAAATATTTGAAGCTCGTGGCACAGGATGTAGTCACGCGCGTATTGAACGTCACCAGCGATAATGGGTGGGACGCGACAAGTGCAATTGTGCGACTCTTCCAGCTCGTGAACGTTTTCGTCAACTACGAGAAGCTATGCAAGTGCAACCACATCCAGTGCGTCGACCATTTCGTCCAACTTGCGGAGCTGCAGATCTTGAAGCTCATTTGCTAGTCCATCGAGCAGCTACGGGACAACTTGGTTAAGATGTGTCTCAGCAAAGTCATCTGACAACATCATCGGATCAAGGCCTCACGCTCTAGTCTGAGTAGCACGGAGCCGACGCATGCAGATTTGCCAATGAAATGAAACTCGACGCATCAAATGTGTGACGACGCTTTTTGCAAGCGCGTCGTTGTGGACACGATCATGGATCAATACAAGGCCAAAATTGGCCATGGTGCTCTTCAAGAATCGGAGTGGTAGGTAATTGCTGGCGTGTCAAGTTTTTTTTGCGCATCACAGCAGGTCATGGAAAGCCTCGCGGCGGACTACAAGCCAACGCTCGACCTTGTGTCATTGTTCGTCGCCATGACGACGCAAACGAAGATGATGGTTGGTTCTTGCACCAGCTTATGCTCATACAATTGCAATATTATCTTCACCTTGTGTCATTGTTCGTCGCCATGACGACGAGCAGAACCTACAAGAGAAACACGTTGTGTTGACAACGATTTCCATGAAGATGATATTGCAATTGTATGAGCATAAGCTGGTGCAAGAACCAGCCATCATCACAGCATATCTGAATACTCAGATCTCGAAGCCGACTGATCCTGCCAAGCTAATGGTCGTTACTGAAATCCTACGCAAAGTCCTGTAGTGGCACTACTCTGCTGAGATCAACTCGACCAAGAGCACAAACTTGCTATCAAAAGCGTCATGCAACTCGCTATTTGTCGCAATGTTTTAGCCGCAAGACGTTGACAGTGGAATTGGCGACGAGATCGATCAGTACTTGTTGATCGGTGTTGTCCATGCCTTATGCTTAGGGCTCCGATCGGGTTCGGATAAAACTTGAAAACCCGAGTTCGGGTCGGATGAGATCCGAGTTCGGCTAAAGTGCTGCATCCCACGCGAAACTCAAAAATCAAACTGGGTGTGGGGAGCCGTTAGAACGAGTTTATCCCAGAGGTCTGGGGATAGATTTGCTTGAAAAAAAATCAGAGAGATTAGAGGCTGCGATCGGGTGATTTAGCCGGCCGGAATGGTAAGCCTGACTTATCATCCCGGCTCTCTCTTTCGGGGATGTCAGCTTCATCGGAACCGATCTGGAGGACGTTTTTGCTCATCGTTTCATTGTGGTGATCATCCGCGCCGCGTATGCACAATTCAACAAACATTAAGATCTGTAGGTGCTCGATGCATGAGCACTCTTTAATCGATTGACCCTTCGCTTGCCTGTCTTGTGGTTGGTTGAAGAACAGTCAAACGATCTTTCATTGCAACCATAGTGCTGTGTAAATATGTGAATGCATGTGCGGATGTATTGTGAGATAGTTTGAGAGCCAAGATGACCCCGTGCCGGATTATCAAATGTTTACAGAACGAGAGTACAAGTAGAGCTCAACGCAATCACATAATAAGTCCCGCTGAGCCAAAAAAACGATTTCAGGAGCTATCAGTAGTTCTGCAAAAGGCGCAAGATTCATGTTTTTGGATTTTATCCAAATTGATTCGAACCTGATCCGATTTTTTGGGTCGAAGGTTAGATCCGACCCGATCGTAGCCCTACTTAGGCTTCATTGATGTCTTGTCGTGGTGATTGGCCCGGAAGGATGTGCTGGTGGATAATTACCAGATGGCAATGGACTAACTGGGGACACCGGTGACGTCGACAGCATCAGAACGCGTGAATTGTGTGGACGGCCGTGAATTCACGTGTACGCGGCAGTCGTTGTCATCGTTGGTATTCATCATGATCATGTGCATCCGGTCGTGGATGAATGCGGGTATACTCAAAGTGCCGATGCATCGGGCGGCAGCGGCCACGGCTGTCCTAGCTGAAGGCAAGGAAAAAAATTTGCAGTCGATTATCCAAGAGCTTGAGGAGGAGCAAAGCGGCTGGAATGAGGAGATTCTTGAAGATGATGTCATTGCCATGCTCCACTCCCAATCCTCTGACATTGTCTTTGACGCAGAATATGACATCCGATTCGACTAAAATGATAGTCTTCATTCAACTTAAATCGTTCGCTCGCTCACTATCAAGTTATGATGGATGCAATTCAATAGTTCTTGTAGGTATTGTACTCAACTGCAAGTCTTCTTTCATTCGATTTTTTTAGAAATGTCACGTACCAGATTCTTATCTTGTTGTTGTCTTTTCAATTCTTATCCTGCTGTTCTCTTTTTTATTTATCATGTCTTTATTTTCTTTGACTTGTCGCAGAAAAAAAGAGTAAAGTTTATTCGAATTGATGGTAAGACACACCCAACGTCAAGACAAGACCTTGACAAAACCTTCCAAGAGAAAGAGTATGTCAAAGTAGCTCTGGTGATTACAATTTGCTATGCATTTTGTAAAACCTTATTTATATAAATGCTTTCACTGTGTTGAGCTGGACGATACGCTCCTCCTCAACCCTTGGTTTTATGTTGGAACACATATAGCTTGGAATTCGTGCTGACGGCGTGGGTCTTACTTTAACGGTGGCAAGCACGGTCATGTTTGCCGAAATGTCATGGAGACTAGGTGATCTAGTCCAGGCTGAAGATCGGGCCCATCATATTGGACAAGCGAGGGGTGTTGTCTGGACAGCGGTCTCCTGTGCATTATTTCACTGACATTTAACATGGGTGTGTATGAAAACTCTGAAGTACTACATACTAGTCCACTTGGCGGGGATGCTGTTCAGCACAAGTTGGAGAATTTTGGTCAGGTTAGTATTGTTTTATCAACGCTTCAACTTCCTGCAAGTATGAAATTATACGAATTATACGCTTTGCTGGAATCCGATTCGGTTCAAGTTCGTTCACCTTTATGTTTGTTTTCCAGGACAACTCATGCAGGCATTGATAACAGCCATGTTTCACCTTGAGTACTTGATACTATAGACCTTCGTTGTCTGTTCCCGCACTTTATATCCTGTAAGTCCGTTTATCAAACGCCTTGCGTAGGATGACGAATCAAATCTTGTTCAGTAAGATATATTTTATTTTCAGCTGCAGGTTTTGGACGGGTAGGAAGATAAAACGATGCAATTTGTGTCCAATTCAGAAGAGGTTGAGAATGGATCGCAAACCCAAGAACAATCCACTCTGCATGACTATATGAAACCCTGTACCGAGTATTCAGCAACAGACCGAGACAGCACCATTCCCCGGCTTCAATTCAATCATCGACAACGCCGATGACTGGCCCAAACGAAACAACAAATAGACTAGATAGTTGTTCTTTCAAATGTAAGCGAGAACATGAGCAAGCAGCAGAGATCATCATAGATTTGGTTGATTCACTTGAGAGATTTCAACCACATTTGGAACTCGAGAATGCTCACGAGTTGGATGGAGGATTCGGCCTTAACTAAATTGCAGAAGGGCGGACAAGGTTCTGCCATCCATTACAGCAGAAGAGGGAGTAGAGGTTATCTCAAGAATCTTTCAAAGTTGGCCAACTTTGGTCTTTACGGACGGTTTTCTGAGTTTAATATACGAACGGTCCATCGTTGGTATTCAGGTGTGCTACCGTAGTCACCGACTTGGATTTGAGATGGCGATACTCATCGTTATGACACGTGACCACAAGAGTGCAGTTCAACTTCAGAACATCACCCACAATAGGTAATGATGTTGTCAAATGTGTGCTTCCTCCTATAGTACTGCATTGTTTGCAAGCCGTCTCTGATACCATTAGGTTGTATGTGAGCCGAACCTTCCCACCCTTCAGCGTTTGTAGTCCAGGTGGGGTGTAATAACCCACCAAAGGCTAAAACTGCAGTATGGTGGTAAAAAGATCGAACCCACAGGGACAGAGGCAACACACAGAGTAAAAAGTGTCACGTTTAACAGACTTTTGTAGAGTTTGAATTCTCAGGCGACTGTCACTCCCAGAAATACTGCAGTGCTCGACTCGGAGGCTCGACTCGGAGGAGGATCTCGACTCGGAGGATGCTCGGAGGATGCACAGTACAGCGTAGTCACTCAACACACACACACACACACACACCTGAAACTGGCAAAAGCACAACTCGGAGGTCGGTCAGGACCTCCGCTTCGGATTTCAGAGGGAAAGTGTCTCAAAAGTTCACTCAGAGGTACTGCAGGTAGTGACTCCCACTCCGGCTTTTACTGCCCTTCCGCCAGGAACTAGCGTAGGGTACCCGGACTGGACTTCCCACTTCGGAACGAAGCCTCTTCATACGCCGTGGACGTCACCCTCGACTCACACCAAACGCAGGGAGTGCAGGCCCGACTGAGAACTTAACTGAGACACAATCCAGTAACACACACACAACCTGAATTGCAAACCAAGACTTACACGAAGTAATAAAACTTCACATTGGCATTCAGGGGAAACTTCCCGTAGGAGTACAATGAGGATATGTCACTCGAAGGAGTAAGGGGGAACTGTTCAAGTCTCTAACTCGCAGCCGGCTCTGAGCATCAGAAATCACCCGCAGGTGCAGATCCGCACTACTGAAGTCTCTAACCGGGTACTAGCTCTGAACATTCAGCCGAAGGCCTTCAACTACAACATACGGTAACTTACGGTAGAAAGGTCGAACCCACAGGGACAGAGGAACACACAGGGTACCAAGTGTCACGTTTTAACAGACTATTGAGGAGTTTGAATTCTCAGGCAACTGTCACTCCCAGAAATACTGCAAGTGTCCACTCGGAGCGCACTCGGAGGTCGCACAGTGCAGCGTAACACACACACACACACACACACACCTGAAACTACAGAAACACAACTCAGAGATCCGTTAGGACCTCTACTCAAGATTTCAGGGGGGGAAAGTCTCTCGAGAGTACACTCAGCGAAGCTGCGGGTAGTGACTCCCAACTCCGGCTTTTACAACGCTTCCACTAGCTTGCTGCTAGTGTAGGAAACCCGGTTTGGACTACCTACTTCGGATCGAAGTCACTCAGACGCGGTGAACAACACTCTCAACTCACAAAACGCGCAGAGAACACAGGTCCGCACTGAAGGACTCACTGTGAAACATTCCAGTAACACAACAACAGTCTATTGAAGAGTTTGAATTCTCAGGCACTTGTCATTCCCAGAAATACTACAGGGGTTACCCTCAAGGCACCTGCTGCAGCGTAACCTGAATTTACAACCAAGGCTTACACGAAGTAGCAAAACTTCACTTTGGCATTCAGGGGAAAAATCCCAAAGGAGTACAATCAGAAAGGAACACTCGAAGGTGTAGGGGCGAAACTGTTCAAGTATCTAACTAGTCACTGGCTCTGAGCATCGGCAGTCACCCGCAGGTGCAGATCCGAACTACTCAAGTCTCTAACCAATGTACTAGCTCTGAACATTCGGCCGAAGGCCTTCAGCTACAAAATGCGGAACGCTAAGTTGTAACTCCTCGTGCGTGGTGACAGAACTCAAGGACACAAACACGCAAAGGAAATGGGTTCCTGATCTGCACTTCTGATGGGAAAGAACCCCAGGCAAAACGCCTGGAACTATTTTATACCTTCTAAGTCCTACCTAACACTACACTGCACTATGCTACACGCCTGCACGGGACCACGCTACACTACACTCCGCGGAACCTGTGCTACGTCTCCTGCGCGGCGGACTGCCGCGCACTAGCTCCCTACCTCAATCACCAAGAAATCCCCTGTGCGGCGACATCGAGAATGTTTAGCAGCCAGCAGATGGACGCGCGCAGCGCGCACAAGAGATTGGAATCGCGAATTCAAGAATGGGACGCTCTCCGCCGCCCGGTCGAAGGTCATGGTCGGCTCTTGCTCGTGGAGGACGTCTCACTTGATGGCCGCGCCGGCTCTACGCTGGAACGGTCTCCGCTCTCACGCGCGGCTTCACGCTCCGCCGTCGCCGATTAAACTCTCACGCTCGAATTGCCGGCTCTACGCTGCAACGGTCTCCGCTCTCACGCGCGGCTTCACGCTCCGCCGTCGCCGATTAAACTCTCACGCTCGAATTGGCGGATTTGAACTCTGCGAGCGTATTACCCCGCGGACATGGGAGCGCAGCGCCGAAGGCGAGTTTTCCGCCTTGCGCGGTACACTTGTTCGTACCGCCCCTCGGCCAATCCCCTTCTGCCTCGACGCGTGTGTCCGCATGTCGGACAAAAGTTCAACTCCTGCCTGTGCGCAGGCAGACTCCTCGGCGGATTCTCCGCCGGCGCGGAACTTCATCCTCCTGTGCACAGGCGCTCGCCTGTGCGCAGGCGAATTCCGTCCGCGGCGTCGCGCTGGCGCGGAAGGCGTTGACCGTGGTCAGCCGTCTCCGTCCAGACTGTCCGTTCCTTGTCTCTTCGTCGGCGCTTCCGCCGCCGCAACTCCGTCCGTCCAAGAGCGCATCCACCCGTCCCGTCCGCATGGTCCGTACGGATTTGATTACTCTGGCGGCTCCTTGCTCGTCCGCGGCGCCGCGCTGGCGCAGAAGGCGCCGTACACTTTCTACCTCACAAGGCGCATTTCTAGGGCCCAAGGCGGATTTTCCGCCGACGCCGAAGCGCCTGTGCACAGGCGCTCGCCTGTGCGTAGGCGGACTTCGCGCCTCCCCAAACCCTACTTCGCCTGTGCACAGGCGAACTTCCTTCGTCCGCGCATAGGACAAAACTTGATCCCCCTTCCGCGTAGGCGGAATTCCCGCCGGTGGCGAACTCCTTCCGCCGAAGGCAAACGTCTACGTATCTTCCAATAGTGATAACTCCCTAAGTCCTCATCCGTTCCAAGCGTTCTTGGACTCGTTGGAATCAGTGCGTCGAGCTCTTTCCAACGAGACCCTAACTCGGTCAAGGCGCCCGAGGGTTGACCTAATTATGAAGGATTTCCCTACCGCCGCGGACGCAACCTCCGAAGGCGGGTTTTGCGCCTTGCGCCGCAGGGATCCTAACTGCAGAGCTCGCAGGGAGGGTGGTGCCCATCCTTACTGCTGCACCCCAAATCCTAAATTCTACAAGATCCCTCGAGAATCCCCGCGATCTTCCGGATTCACTCTGTTTTGATGTACCGAAGGCTATTTACAATGCTGCCAGGGTACAGTTTTTTCCAAAAATGTTTTAATTTCCTCAAAATTACCAAAAGTGGGGTACCACACGAACTCGCCTCAACCCTTCACATCAGTAACTTCCGACACTCACAACTCAGTGATGCCTCATCCGTTTGAAGAGTTCTTGGTCTCGTTGTAACGAGCGTTGCGAGTTCTTTCCAACGAGACACTAACTGAGTCAAGGCGTCACACATTGAAAACGTTATGAGTGTTTCACTGTTTCGCCGAAGGCCTTTCCCCGAAGGCACTTCGCCGGAGACCCTGCCCTGAAAGCCCCTTTCCGCACCTTTATCTACTAACTATTACACCAACTCCTAATCTTGCCAAAACTTCCAGAAAACTCCAAGCATAATTTTGCAAGAGCTTACATCCAAAATTTTAACTCTCATAAGGGTAAAAAGACATGTGAGCACAGTTTTGTGCTCACATTGTATTAACCTGACTACTGCAAGAGACAGAGCAGATCAGATCCCTTTCAAGTCTACTTTTGACCACTGTGTGTACATGATGTAGTGTACTTTAAGGCAAAAACGTCATGCTCGATCAACCCATGAGGTAACTTTGAATCGATAGTGTTGATAGTGACTTGATTGAAAAGCTATGGTGGTCAAACTTGAGATGCAATCTATGGTTGCATGCGAGGCTCTGTCCAAGTCCCCACAAGTCATCAAAGCGGTGAGTTTCAACATAATAAACAGCATCGGACAAGTCCAGGTTTCATTGTTGTCCGAGTCCCGACAAGGCATCAAAGAGTTGAGTTTCAATATAATAAACAGCATCGGACAAGTCCAGGTTCCATTGCTGTCCGAGTCCCAACAAGGCATCAAAGAAGTGAGTTTCAATGTAATAAATAGCATCGGACAAGTCCAGGTTCCGTTGCTGTTCATTTGAAGTCCCCATAAGTTTGCTTTGCTTGCTTTGCTTCTCCAAATACACAGCTTAAATATTAGTACGGTCATAGATAAGGAACCCCAGGTTCGGAATGAAGGTTGCCCTTCTAACCATAATGTATTGGTAAATTACAATTGTGATACACATAGAAAATGTTTATCGAGTAAACATATAAATTACCCTATAGTTTATTTTTTATCGATTATTCCTAAAGTATTACAAGGTAAAGTTTATTTTTTTTCGTGTGTTCCGGGTAAATTACCATTAGATAAAGAAAAAAGTAAAAATAGATATAAATGGTGCGAATCAAATAACAAATATTTTTGAAATATAATATTTCAAAACTAATCCTGAGTTTTTACATGGTAAAAATAACCTTTACTTTTAAAGAATAAATAACCATTAGATACCATTACCATGTAAATTACCATTAGATAAATGAAAAAATAAAATTATATTTTAATGGTGCAAGTCATGAAAAATAATAAATATCTTTCCTTTATTATTTACATGACTTGCGCCAGGGGGCGGAAGTCTTTGAACCTCCTCGGAAGTCCTATTTTTGTGTGGAATCTGGCTGTAGTATGAAATGGTTTTTCCTTGCTTCCATTGTTAAACAGCAGCAAGTGATGGGAAACTGACGATGACAGCTTGGAAGTGCTTACCTATAGATATTGTCCTGAATATGAAGTCCTTAGCTTCTTGCATTTCGAAGTTGAAAAGACCCTGGATTTGATGACAGAAAGATGCACATGCAATCAATTATGAAAACTGAACGACCCTAGGGGACTTCAACATCTCTCGACAGATTGTAGAGTTCCATCCGCCAAAAATCAGGACTGCTTCACATGAACCCGTGAGTAGTATCAGACATGTGGACAACTCAGGCCTTTTAAAAAATGCTTAGAGATCTGATCAATGATGCAATATTTTGAAGGCGACTACCCTCAAAACGGAAAACGGCTGGAAAGTCCATTTCCACAACCTTTCAACATCAGTACACTGCGTATATGCAGTGTGCTCTTATACAAGGCGGGGAATAAGAGACTGACAAGATATTAGCATCCGATGATCAAAAAAGGCCACATTTTCAAGAACACAACTTAGTGATAACATTAGTATGGAGGAAAGCTTAAGAAACAATATTCCCAGGCTTACAAAATTATCAAAATGAGAGATTTCTCACTAGACATATATACGACCACTTTTCCTGGTAAAAGGGTCATGAAGTACGAACAATTGGTCTGCGGGGCGAGACTCAATCCGACATGTACACAGAAATGCTAGCTTTCTGCTACGTAGGTGTCATGAAGGACCGTTCAGTTTTCTGCTATTATCCTAATGACTGATGGACTCTTTCACTGCCTGAGGACGGAGACATGCGTCTACCACATCCTGTGAGATCCTGGGGGAAACAAATAAAATGAGGAGAGAAAGAAAATCTCGACATTACAGAACTAACATGTCATATCCCTTCAGTGAGACCTGCATCTAAATCGAGCACTACTGTCTCCAAAATCGTTGCGCATACCGAGACTGATTAGTTCTCTTCGTAGTGGAACTTCCCGAGCTCCACAGCTATAAATACCAGTCAAATCCATCTTCCATAAAATCGTTGTCCCACTCTTCCGCATCGTCGTCATCGTCTTCATCGTAATTAGAGTCAGATCCTTCAGCGCTCCATCCGATGACCTGGCGCACTTTCTGGCATTTTGAAGACATGCTAAACTCATACCTCACGTAACGGCAAAGTCTAACATCCAGGTACTCCAAATCAGGACACTTATCCAGGATGGCGATCAGCCCTGCGTCAGTCAACAAACCTGATACAATCTCCAGGTGTTTAAGCTTGGGCATGTTATGTGCAATGGCCAGGGCTTCCGAGTCATCTTCGGTTCCGAGTGATATACGTAACAGATGCAAAGTCCACATGTCCAGTCTGATGAGTGACTTGCAGGTCTGACCAATAACTTCCAACGCTTTACATTTTATTGCGCTACACTCGCTAATGTCTAGATGCACAAGTGAAGGCAAGGTCAAAATGAGTTCACAAAGGCCATCCTCAGTTATCTTCGAGGAAGGAATGCAGAGCGTCCTCAACGAATTCAGACGACTGTGAAACAACAATTTGTACCACGAAAAATGAATTAGTAGAGCATGCTCCAGTGTTCGACGGTGTACGCACTCAATTTGGTTATCACACATTCTTCAGACAATATATGGAAATTGCACACAAAAAGTAAACACTTTACATATACTAAGGAGAGCTATTTGCTGGTTCCAATACAAACATAAGAAAAGCAAAATGATGACAAACTTCATTATCGATCGTATAAATGATGATACACGAGTAAAAGACCGAAGTGTGCCTTTCTTCAAATCTTGAATAAATCTCAAGCAGCTTTATGAAATTCTTGCAAATTTTGCACAATAAAACATTGTCCAGCTTCGTTCCAGCTCCCACTAATCTGGAGTCGACATAAAAGTAGTGGTTTCTAAGGTTCTGGCAGAGAAAACGCATTTCCTTGAATAAAGTTAATTGAGAGACTGCAAGAGCTTTCAAACCCTAAAACAAGAATGCTATTTCATCGAATATGTAACTGGGTAATTATGGTACAAATAAACATTCGAGTTTTAGCGAAAAGGACGAAGTGCACAGAGCCATTCATATTCAAAGAACTGGTAACCAAGAATAGACATACCTCTGCGCGAGATAGTGCAAACTGGCATCGCTGTCCAAATTCGTCACACGCAGCTCCCGAATCCCACCACAGCTCCGAGACACAACCAATTTCACCATGCGCTCGACAATTTCACCTCCCCCGGCCGAAATGCACCAGTCGTTGAGATCGACAACCTGCCAGCAGGCAGGATCCAGCAAAGCCTTTCTCCAAGCTTTACAAACTTGAGGCACAGTCTGCAGAAGTTCCCTCGAAGGCAACCTCCTCATCACTTCGACGAGAGTCTCGGGCAACATCTCCGCCCACCGGACGTTCACCCGCTCATTCTCGGCGTCCGAAAGCTCCTCCTCCTCCTCCTCCACAAAAGTCCTGTCCATAGATAGTCCTGTCCTGTTTAAACTCAGTTACAACAAAACCACATCTAGAGTTCCCTCGTCCGCTCGCGATCCCTCGTGTAACCCAAATATACTTCCTGCGCTATCCCGTCCTCGTCCCGGCACCCCGCCCTTTCTCTAACTCTACACGCGCATCCACCAGTTCACTCACACACAAACATACACACCAAAACACAGATGAACTCTGGACGAGGTGCTCGCTCGAGGACGAGTGTGAAAGATGCTGCCCCAGCTCCTGTCCACCTGTCTACTTTCCTCTTGACCTCGCCTTCGTACGGAACGAGGAGTATTGTCCTCGTCGCGGGAGTTCTCTTGCTGGAAAGGGTATCTTCTCGTGGACGGATGGGGAGTCCGATGGACGGGCAGCGGGCGGGACGGCGATTGAGTGTTTTCGCTTGGTGATTCTGCATGCACCGTCTTTGATTCGTGCGAGTGACCGGCCGTATGGCTGGATGCCCGCCCGCTGCCAGTCGCATCCTGCTCCAGCGGCCGAAAGTGAGCGCTGCGACCACCGTAAAGTGCCGTAAAGTACACCCTTCTCGCCCCAACGCTCTTCACCCACGGAGCTCTGTTCCTCGTCCAATCAGAACATTCCACGTGGGAATCTATTGTTTTCGCATCCTTCGTACTCTTGACTTCGTTTGTCAGTGTTCACCGTGTTATATAAGAAATGATGATTTGTAAATATAAATTTATAAGAATTGTAATAATATCTTTTAATCATAATAGGTTAATTATTTCCAGCAAAAAGGGAGAAGATTTGTCTCTACTAAATATTTTTTTTAAACTTTTTGTGGTAGTTTAGTAAAATTATCACACAATTGAAGTAGAATATTACATTGTGTTAGCAAGACTTGTGCTTTAGCCTCTCGCATAACAGCTTTATGCTCTGTGCTTTGCTTACTTTGCGGGTTTCCGCGAACGAAAATAAAACATAAATGTGTACAATATGTGGCCTAATTTGGGTACTCCGAAGAAATGAATAACTTTCAAACAAAATTTTAGGGTAATCACATAAGTATAATAAACGCGGATTAGCGGATAAAAGCCTCCGACTGCTGCAACTAGATAGTAACTTCAGCGGCTTCTTTCCATAAATTCTTTGTTCCCGGGGACCGAAATGCGCAACGGTGACGAATTATCGCAAATGTGACGTGTGGTAACCCACTTTTTGTTATTTGTCGGAACTAAAACATTTTTGAATAGTAAGTACCGCGACAGCAGCTGTAAATAGTAATCGGTACGCGAAACCAGAGTAAAAAGAGGATCGAGGACAGTCAAGGGGTTTTGGGCTTAGGCCACAGTGGGACGCTTGGGACGGAACGGGCGGTTCATGCTGCAGGATCCGCTTCGAGCATCTTCGGCGGTACATCACTCATAACTTTCTCAATTCGTAACGCTTTGAGTTGCTTCGGATCTTGTTGGAAAGAACTCGACGCGTTGGTTCTAACGAGCCCAAGGACTTGTGAAACGGATGAGAGGTCACTGAGTTATGAGTGTCGGAAGTTACTGATGGGGCACCTTCGGCGGTAGAGCGACTTTGGCGGTACGCCTTCGGCGGAAGAACCGCCGGAAGATGCGCCTTCGGCGGTAGGCGCCTTCGGCGGTAGACGCCTTCGGGTCAACGACTTCGGCGATGCGGGAGAGTGCATTCGGCGGAAGAGTGAATCCCTCATAACTTTCTCAATTCGCAGCGCCTTGACTTGGTTAGGGTTTTGTTGGAAAGAGCTTGACACGCTCATTGTAACGAGCCCAAGAACGTCTGGAACGGATGAGGACGCAGGGAGTTGTGAGTGTCGAAAGATGCGAAGGAGAGCGCCTACGGATAGGCGGAAGGAGTTCGAGGTCGGCGGGAAGTCCGCCGGGAAATCCGCCTTCGGCGGAAGGAATTCGCCTGCGCGTACGCACTTCGCCATCGGCGGAATATCCGCCTTTGGCCCTAGATGTTCGCCTTCAGCGACAGACGTTTTCGGGTCAACGCCTTCGGCGATGCGGGAGAGTGCATTCGGCGGAAGAGTGAATCCCTTATAACTTTCTCAATTCCTAACAACTTGACTCAGTTAGGGTCTTGTTGGAAAGAGCTCGCGACGCTCGTTCCAACGAGAGCAAGAACTCTTGAAACGGATAAGGTGTCACTGAGTTATGAGCGTCGGAAGCGGCTGTCATGGTTAGGAGAGAGGCCTTCGGCGTTAACATATAGAGGGGCCTTCGGCGTTAACAGTTAGAGGGGCCTTCGGCCCAAGGCGGACGCCTGCGAGTAGGCGGCTTGCGTGTAGGACGCGGACGCCTGGGAGTAGGCGGCCTGCGTGTAGGACGCCTTTGCATAGGCAAACGCCTTCGGCGGAAGAGTAAAACCGTCATAACTTTTTCAATTCTTAACGGTTTGACTTAGTTAGGTTCTTGTTGGAAAGAACACAACCCGCTTGTTCCAACAAGCCCAAGAACGTTTCGAACAAAGCAGGGATCTGTGAGTTATGAGCGACGGGGGTGACTGTTATAGATTGGCGACTCCATGCGGACGGGAGACTGCCTGCGCATAGGCGAGCGCCTACGCATAGGCGAGACTCACCTCCGGTGCAGCGTAGGAAAGTAAAGGAGCCGGCGGAAGATCCGCCTTCGGCTCAAGGGACTTCGGTGCCACGTGGCAGAAGATTCCCGATGGCGGAAGTTGGCGGGATTATGTCAAGTGTGGGACGCAGAACGGCGGGGCCCATATCTTTGCGATGGATGGTCAGATGGATCTGAAATTTTGTGGGCCGTTGATCTCGGCCGGCCACGCATGCCTGCAAATTTTCAGCTTCAGATCTTGGATGTAAAGGCGCTGGCGGCTCTGTACAGTAGGCTTAGGATTCAGATTTAGGGTTAGGGTTAGATTTAGGTTGTAAGTTAGAGGGGAAGGCAGCCGCCGACTCCTCAGGTGTAGGATCTGTTACGGCTCGCACCATGGCATTGCAGTGTAGTGTTAGTTAGGACTTAGAAGGTATAAAGTAGTTCAAGGCGTCTTGCCTTGTGATTTTTCCCAACATCAGAAGTGTAGATCAGGAACTCATTTTCTCTGCGTGTTTGTGTCCTTAGTTCTGTCACCACGCACGAGGAGCTACACCTTAGCGTTCCGCATTGTGTAGCTGAAGGACTTCGGCCGAATGTTCAGAGCTAGTACATTGGTTAGAGACTTGAGTAGTTCGGATCTACACCGGCGGGTGATTGCCGATGCTAAGAGCCAGTGACTAGTTAGATACTTGAATAGTTTCGCCCCTACACCTTCGAGTGTTTGTTCCTGATTGTACTCCTTCGGGATTTTTCCCCTGAATGCCAAAGTGAAGTTTTGCTACTTCGTGTAAGCCTTGGTTGTAAATTCAGGTTACGCTGCAGCAGGTGCCTTGGGGTAACCCCGGTAGTATTTCTGGGAATGACAAGTGCCTGAGAATTCAAACTCTTCAATAGACTGTAATGGTGTGTTACTGGAATGTTTCTCAGTGAGTCCTTCAGTGCAGACCTGTGTTCTCTGCGCGTTTTGTGAGTTGAGAGTGTTGTTCACCGCGTCTGAGTGACTTCGATCCGAAGTAGGCAGTCCAAACCGGGTTTCCTACGCTAGCAGCAAGCTAGTGGAAGTGTTGTAAAAGCCGGAGTTAGGAGTCACTACCCGCAGCTTCGCTGAGTACTCGCGAGAGACTTTTCCCCCCTGAAATCTTGAGTAGAGGTACTAACGGATTTCTGGGTTGTGTTTCTGTAGTTTCAGGTGTGTGTGTGTGTGTGTGTGTTACGCTGCACTGTGCGACCTCCGAGTGCGCTCCGAGTGGACACTTGCAGTATTTCTGGGAGTGACAGTCGCCTGAGAATTCAAACTCCTCAATAGTCTGTTAAACGTGACACTTTGTACCTTGTGTGTTCCTCTGTCCCTGTGGGTTCGACCTTTCTACCACTATATTGCAGTTTTAGCCTTTAGTGGGTTATTACATGACGGAGATAGCAGGAAATAATAATATCAATTTGGGGCGCCCCAGAATTGCTTGATTTCTATAAGCGCCGAGTGAACGCCTCGGTTAGGTCTGAACCCGTGGGCTACGTTAAGGAATATAGGGGGTAATAGCCAATGTCTGGTCAGGAACTTCTTGGTATAGGTACCGTCCTCACCTTTTTAGGAAAAATCGGAAAGATTAGTGTTACTGCATTTTCAGTTTCCACGAATTGGATATGGAACGTTTTTTCATTACCTATCTTGATGAAATGCAGGTGATGGGCGATCAGTCTCCGGATGTCCTGATACATGCAGCTGTGGTAGAGGCGAGTCTTATAAAGAAAAAAGTGGGTTTAAACGTCGCAGATACTAAAACTAACTCGGAGACAGTATCGATTCGAACCTGGCCGTGGGTCTAGACTTTATCTCGTCCAATAAGGAACCAGACCCGTAGCAAATAAAAGATTTTTACAACAGTCTCAATAGGTTCAGAAACCACACGTTTCTCTAAATCATCATGGCGAACTTCCACATATCCACTTAAAGGAAAGTCTTTTCTTAATGGATGACCCTCAAAACCATAATCTGTTAATATAATTTGTAAATCAGGATGATTAGAAAAATAATTACTTTTTTTATCATGAAATTATAATGAAAATGATCATAGATTGTTTGATCAATGTCTGAACTGAAGTCAAAGGTGACGAGAGGCCTAGTGCCCATGAGACAAGGCAAGCAGTCTCTCGTGCTTACTAAATTGGTTGATACTTTAGTGATGAAAAGCTTAATCTGCTGCCGTCTAGTGCTTCTTAGAAGAATAAAACAACAGACTATGCTCGAAAGTTCAAGAATCTAAAGAGTGTAGATCCTCCTGGGCAGCGACATAATAATACAAGTGGAAGCAGGGGTTAAACTCTTCACGGAGAAAAGTGATTAATTCATTTCCCATGAGACAACAGACTGCAATTATTTTCGAACAGTCTTGTGTGATTTATGTGTACATGCAAAATGAAGCATGGGAAACAGCATTCAGTCAGAGTATTGCGAGGAAAAGTCCTCGTTGTGATAGACGCTGGCATGTTTATTGAAATCTTGGTAAAAGTGGAAGATGCGCGCAAATTTCTGGGCTGAAAATACAAACGACACCAGATGTCTTGTCGCTAGACACTGGATTATTAGCTAGGGACCTGCAGATAGGCTAAGAAGCTACTAAACTGCAGGTCGAGCTTAGTGCTTCTGACCCGAAATGGTGTTTATTCCAGATCATTGAGAAGCGCCTGGTAAGAGACCAGACAAGCTGATACCAGCACAAGGAAGAGAGTAT